CTACCAGGTTTTGCCTGTAGTACTGCTAGTAAGAGGTTTACTTTTTTTCTTAACATCCCTCAAACCCACCAAGGTTCCTGGCCTGCCAGGAAATGATCTCTTTTATAAGTTGGGGAGAAGACCTATGGGCCACAGAGCAGGTATCTGTCTAGATTCCTGGAAGCTACCGTGGTAGGCTTTGGCTCCACAAACTATGAACATAAGTGAAATTTATTCCTAATATGGCACACCTATACACCGGTTGCATTATCAAGCTTTTCAATTATATCCTGACAAAAATCAGGCCAGACTCTTACTGACTATACATAAATAGGTCCATCATTGTAAAAGATGAAGAATCTCAGTGACAGTAATTGTAACAGCATCTGCCTATTGTTTTAAGGAGGTTTTTGGACAAAGGTAATGAATATCCTTCAAGTTATCTTTGAAATGGTTCTATTGTCTATAGATACAACATATCTTAGTGAGGTTACACAAGGTCAAATTTCATTCATATGCTATTCTAAGTTTAATCCATCTTGACAACAATCCCCTGAATTCCAACTATGAGATCATTCTTACATTCTTCTGATGATTCAATCAGCTCATAAATCTAAACTAAGATTCCCCAGGAGAGATGGCTATCAATTGTATTAAATACAATTCAAAAAGAGTTTCAATCCAGTTTGCATAAGTATAGCTTCCTAAATAGAGAATTAGAAAATAGATCAAGAAGAAAGACAAAGTACTTCCTCATGTGCCCATCAGAAAACAACACAGACCACATCACATGTCTCTTGTTGATTCCACAATCCTGCCTTATACAGTTTTCCCTCCATAGCCACAGATTCAATCAGCTATACACTGAAAGTATTCAAGAAAGAAAATTTCATTTGTACTGAACATACGTAGATTTTTATTCCTGTCATCATTCCCACAACAATACAACATAATCGCTATTTACATAGCATCTACATTGTTTTAGTGTCATAAGTCATTCAGGGATGGCTTAAGGGATACCAGGTTAATAGAGATTATATGTAAATAATATACTATTTTTTATAAGGGACTCAAGTATCTCTGGATTTCAGTCTCCATGGGGGACCTGGAACCAATCATCCATCAATACCAAGGGACGACTGTATAATCAATTCTGTTCTGTCCAGTCCTGCTCACAGTATTTTTTCACAGCCTTCTGGTTATGAACTAAACAGATTCCATGGATCAGACTCAAACCCTGCATGAGTGTATGGTTCTCCTCACAGTGACAACATCAGCTCACCCTGGGAAGTGTGTTCCAGTGAATCAACTCCCCAGCACAGTCTACACTGCAGTGTAGCTTTAGTGTCTTTCTGAACTGTGTTTTCACAAGGCAGTGTCTGGTACGCTTGTACGACGAGAAGCCCTCAGACATGATGAGGGGAGCTTTCCAGAGAATTCCTTTACTGATGATAAGCCAAAATATAAGAAAGTAGAAACTGCTTTTAGGGTATATGATATAACTCTTTTATAAAGATTTGGTCAATTATTACAATGAGAGCACAGACAAATCACCAGAGCCTAACTACCCATCTGGGCAAGTGTGTGGTCTCTGATGAAGCATATTTGTATTAACAAACTTACTAGGGAAAAGACTGAGTTTCTCATTTGGATTTTACAGTTTTTTCCTTACACTTCCTCAGAGCAGGTCCTAAAATAAGGTTAAGCTAATTAAAAAATGTGGAGTCTTCCAAATATACCCCATTGTTTCCAACACCCATGTAGCTGCAAACTACCATGTCAAGAATGTCAAACTAAGGGAACAAGTCTTGGTGCTTTGGTCACCTAAGAAATGCCAAAAATGACTTTGAATGCAAAAGCATCTCTACAGTTGTATTTTATTTTATTGGTTCTAGGGATTGAACCCAGGCACTTTACCACTGAACCACATCACCAGACCTTCCCCCACCCCCCCGCTTTTTTATTTTATTTTATTTTATTTTTAAATTTTGAGACAAGTTCTCGCTAAGTTGCTTAGGGCCTCACTAAGTTGCTGAGACAGACTCTGAACTCACAATGCTCTTGCCTCAGCCTCCCAAGCTGCTGGGATTACAAGTGTGCACCACCACACCAGGCTGCAGTTGTATTTTTTTAAATAAAAATATAACTGGGAGCCAGGCACAGTGGTGCACACCTGTAGTATCAGCTGCTCAGGAGACTGAGGCAGGAGTACTGCTTGAGTCCAGGAGCTCAAGACTAGCCTGGGCCCTATATAGTATGACCCAATCTCTAAATAAATAAATAAGTGAATAGTTGCAATTAACTACTTTAATAACCAGAGTGACAATTATTTCGTTTTGTTTTCAAGTACACCTAAGAGCAGGTAATAGTATATTGACTGGGTGAATTCAGATTTTTCAAATTTTATTTTATCTGATTTAACAATTCAAAAGCATAACAAAATTGAGTCAGGGCACAAGTGCTCCAGTAAGTGTATTCTGACAAGATAATAATTCTGTTATCTTTCACAGATAATTATCTTTGAAGATCATGTAAAAGTAAAGAATGATCTTCTCATACTTCTTGTTTATAGCAGACTGAATACTACAGGACCAATTTTAAGTTACCAGGTCCCTCGCCTTTATCATAAATAAGTTTCTTTTGCTCATTAATTTTAATGGGCATTTAAATAAATGTATGAACTAAACATAGAAAAATATACAGATATATCTGTAACAATATCATTTTTAGCTTTCAACAATAACTTTATAATTAACTTTATCATCATATTAAAATATAAAATACACACAACACTGGACTTAGCATCTCATTTGAAACTTTACAAGAAGAAGTCATAGTTGTGCTTGGTGACTTGATAATTACTCTCTATAAGTTTTAACATCTTTTAAAATGTTATAGGTGACCAAATATTTCTCATGAATTTACCCAACTTAATAGCCCCAAATCTTTTACTCATTAAAGTTGGAAAGACAGAGCAACACCATCACTGGCAATATTATAAGGTTGTCAAAGAGATGAAACTGACAACTTATAAAAGACAACACAAGTATCTATGTCCAAATAATTTATATTACTATCTGCAGTTCAAAAACATTATTTTTTATAGTAAAGTCATCATTTTTTTGTAATTTAATTTAACTGGATACATGTTTGCATTCTTCATAATCTGAAATGTTTTGTGGAAAGAGAGGTAACCTATCTGACCCACAAACCCGTGAAAAAATGTAGGAAACTCATTCATTGGACTTCTTCCTGGAAAAATAAGAGTTTATTTAACTATAAATGCAATAAGATAAAATCAAGCACATCTGATGCTTGTTTGCATTATATACCATACATGATAAAATCAAGGAAAAGATATGTCTGTTTATCAAACAAGTCTGATTTGTTCACACATTACTATGATTATAGATAATGTGTAAACCTGGATCCATATATAATTGTCAATTTCCCAGGTATTAAAAATACTTTACAAATGGTCAAATACAATCTTGACAACGAATTGCTAACTCAACACTTATTCACATTCCTTTTTCTTCCCTCTAATGATAAAATCCATCTAGTGAGCAAAACTTATGGTTTTCTATGATCAGTTCATCTTCAAAATGTTCTTTAAAAACAAGTTCTCCAGTGATATATAAAGCTACAAACATAAATAGGTTCTTACATAGCAATCCCCACTTAATCCACAATTTTGCTTTCCACAATTTCTGTTACCTATGATCAATATTACATTGAACATGAAATATCAAAAGAGGCCAATTGTCTGCATCTAAGCAGAAATTCACCCATTATTTCAGCAATTATAGAACAAAAGTAGTAAGACAAGAGAATTTCAAAAGCAAAGGTGCCACTCTTTGCTAGGGGTGGTTACTCTCTGTAAGTGAGCACATCTGGGCAGATTGTCCATAAATGTGAAATGCTAGCACTATTAAAATCAAAAATCTCAGAAGAATAGATGATGGGCACTATCAAACCTTGATTGAATGCATTTATGGGAGAATCAACAGACTAATACAGCTGACAAAATGATTATACAAAGAACTGGATTTATACTGTCCCAGGAAAAGGATCACTAAAATAAGATTGTTTTAATAATCTTACCTCTGGCATGATCTTACCCTTATCTCTGGCATTAACTTTTCTATGAAACCAAAAGAACACACCTATTAGTTTCCTACACGCTAACCTCTAATTTTATTAGGTTGTCTGGGTTCTAATTTTACTAGTCAAAGTTGCATTGCCCCCCAAGAGATGACCTTAGACAAGATTATTAGAAAATGCTCTAGCATGCCACTCTAGATGCTCTAGTATCTCTGCTTTATTTGAAAAATTTGTGAACAGACTTTAGACAAAAGGACTCAATATTGGGGAAAGAAATAATGGAAATGTTTTCCTGAGAAAACCTCTGAAGTTCAAGGATAAGAGAACTGAGATATTTTCATGACATAGGGATTCGAAAATTGGCTCAGTATTTTACTTAATGATGAATGAATGAAGTTCACCAAAATCAGTAAAAATATATCTAAGACATAGAAGGCAATTCCAAAGCACCTTACTTGACAGGATGTGTTTGTCTTTCATTGAAATTTACCTTTTCTCAAGCAATTTCTCCATTCTTTCAATCTTTTGGGGTGATGTTGAATCTCATTTATGATAAAGTCTGGAAGTTAAATGCAATGAAATTTCAATACAAATTGCTAAAAACTATATTGATGAGCTTAGCATGCTTGAAAAACTTAAGTTTTAAGATTTTTAGTCAACCATAAATGTAAACATCTCCTTTGATTCAATTATCAAAAGGAAAAAGAAATCATATAATATCTCTTATAGATGAACACATAATAAACTCTAAGTTTCTTGTGAACAGTGACTATGGGTTTCCTACTTTTGTCCTGACACAAAATTTAATGTATCACAAGGGTGAAATATTTTGTTAAATGAAGAATAAATTCATCGAATACCAAACAAGTAAAGTAATAAATAATGAAATACTGATACAGTGTGCTTATATCTTCCAGATTTGTAAGGCCTTCTTTCCTGCAATGCTTCAAGCTAATCATGGTCACTTGGTTTGTATTTCAAGTATAGCTGGAATGGTCGGTACTAGTGGACTATCAGGTAAGCACTTCATTCAATTATGTTGCTTGTATTTCCAAGCTGACAGCACTCAGAATTAGGACTCTCCCAAGATAGAGAAAAGCTCTCCGTGTACCATGGAAAGATCCCAGGAAAATTTGGCTCTATTTATAGTGCCAGTATTCCCTTCTGTTGCCCCACTTATAATTGCAGCTGCAGCATCCTCTTCTTTAAAAAAAGAAGAAGAAGAATATGGTTAATGGTTCATTGGTCTTCTTGAGTTAAAAGAATTTAAAGTGATTTCAGCCAGGCACGTGGTGGCACATGCCTGTCATCCTAGTGACTCAGGAGGATCACAAATTCAAAGCCAGCTCAACAACTTAGCAAGACCCTGTCTCAAAATAAAAAGGGCTGGAGGTATGGCTCAGTGCCCCTGGGTTTAGTCTCTGGTACTGAAAGAAAGAATTTAAATTTTATTGGGCATATAAGACTAGAGAGTTTGGCCACATGACTTTAACAGTGATGTTCTGTCCTCAAGCACAAGCCAGACAAAGGAGAAGGAGTTTTATTTTAAAAATTAAAATAATAATAATAATTCCACAAATTAACTTGTCAACTCTCTTACTAATGATAACTCCTCACTTTGTTTCAGATTATTCTGCAAGTAAATTTGCAGCCTTTGGCTTTGCTGAGTCTCTCTTCCTTGAATATAATATGTCAAGGAAAACTAATATTAAATTCACCTTAGTTTGTCCCTATTTTATCAAAACTGGAATGTTTGAGGGCTGCACAACCAAGTAAGTAGACTCTTATAATATCTTTGCTCTTATAATAATCTTCTAATGTATGTCAGTTATCATCTGATCATTTGAAGTTTTGACAGGATGATTATATGGACAGGAAAAGAAAAGATACAGTCTGAGTGGCTAATGTAAGAAAAAATTTCAATACATATGAAATTGATAAATTTATTTTAATTTAAATATAATAATATATTTATGAATTTTATGGGATCCTAAGAACTTATTCTGAAATGCCAATCAGGATATTAAAACATAACAGAGATATTGGTAATGAGACTTATTAAAATATTTAACATTATAGTGTTCACGTGATAATTTCTTTCCTAAAAAGAATATTAAAATGTAAATATCCCTAAACAAAATGTTTTGTAAGAAGATGTATTAATATACATGAGGGGAAGTGTTGCAGAGTGGTATTTCAATATAAAAGATATATTTATCTAAAATAATCCAAAATAGAATATAAATGAAATAATAGAGCTTTAACACAAGGGAGCTAATAAGTATAGTACATTGAAAAGTCTACACTTAAAATGAGAACTAGTATAGTTATTACAATTGTTAGAAAAGGAACTAACAAATCCAAATGACATGCATCAGTCATATTTGTAGGAAGGAGAAACAACCAACAAAAATCCTAGCTAAAAGAAAATTGAGGCTATTTAGTAGCTAGTGAAGCTATAAAATTAAATAGAAGGTTGGAAAACAGGTGGTAAAGTTAGGGGGAAGAGCTGAATTTGAACTCAAGGTAACTTGCTCTTGAGTTTTCTATTAATCACTTTGCAATCTCTCCTCCCTAGATGTCTTTGGGATTCTAAAGGATGTTTAAAATTCATTAAGTGAAAGAAGTAAGGAATGGAGTATTTTATAGATTTATAAAATTTGTGTACACATACATATGATTATTGATTGTGTCTGGCATACATTTGGATGTATAATACACATGTGCTTACAAGAATACACATATTCATGCAAGCTTGTAAATGCATGGAATATTTTTGGAAACCTACCCAAGAAATTCATAACAGTGCTTCTCTCCAAAGAAAATAGGGATCTTGGATAAAAGGGAAAGTTGCTTTTTCACTGTCTTTTTATTACTTGAATTTTTGTTAAATGTTGGTGATGCTTGTAAATAAATTAAAAATTAGTTCTTAGGGCTGGGGCTGTAGCTCAGTGGTAGAGCGCCCGCCTTGCACATGTGAGGCACTGGGTTCAATCCTCAGCACCACATAAAAATAAATAAAGATATTGTGTCCAACTACAACTAAAAAAATATTTTTTTAAAAAATTAGTTCTTACTTAAATAAAAGAAAAAAAGACGACAGGTGGTAATGAGTCAACAGAATACAAAGAGCAAAACTTTATACCAAAGAGACATCTAATAAGCTGGTCAATATTAGCAAGGATAAACATTTAAAATTTCTGGAGATTGATCAAAGGACATGGCATGAATTGAGAAGCATTTATTCAACAAAAATCTATAGAAGCTCAGTAAGAACACTGGAGGTCATGACACTTGGGGTTAAAGACTACACTTGTGCCTGTAGGATAGCTGTTTCAATGGACTTGGCCACCAAGTGGCTATTTTCACCTTTCCTCAGCTCCCCAGAGCAGAAGAGCTACACTGTATAGTTTGGCAACAGGTGAGCGTTGGTTTATCTCACATTCAACAGTTCCATGCAGTAGAAGATCCATATTAAGTGAATAACCTCAGTCAGACAGGGTTGGTCCTTTCACTTCCCCACCCCCCTCAGTAGGTACAGAATATCTGGAGATGGGCTGTTGGTGAAGAGAGCAGTTTATATTTCTAAAATAGCTCTTTGTTGTAAGAGAACTGCTCTAGTAAGCTCAGCAGTCAAGTTTCAGTTCCCATCTTCCCAAGCTTCTTTTTTTTCTTTTTTTTATATTCTTTTTTTTATTGGTTGTTCAAAACATTGCAAAGCTCTTGACATATCATATTTCATACATTAGATTCAAGTGGGTTATGAACTCCCATTTTTACCCCAAATACAGATTGCAGAATCACATCGGTTACACATCCACATTTTTACATAATGCCATAATAGTAACTGTTGTATTCTGCTGCCTTTCCTATCCTCTACTATCCCCCCTCCCCTCCCCTCCCATCTTCTCTCTCTACCCTATCTACTGTAATTCATTTCTCTCCTTGTTTTTTTTCCCGTTCCCCTCACAACCTCTTATATGTAATTTTGTATAACAATGAGGGTCTCCTTCCATTTCCATGCAATTTCCCTTTTCTCTCCCTTTCCCTCCCACCTCATGTCTCTGTTTAATGTTAATCTTTTCCTCCTGCTCTTCCTCCCTGCTCTGTTCTTAGTTGCTCTCATTATATCAAAGAAGACATTTGGCATTTATTTTTTAGGGATTGGCTAGCTTCACTTAGCATAATCTGCTCTAATGCCATCGATTTCCCTGCAAATTCCATGATTTTGTCATTTTTTAGTGCAGAGTAATACTCCACTGTGTATAAATGCCATATTTTTTTTATCCATTCGTCTATTGAAGGGCATCTGGGTTGGTTCCACAGTCTAGCTATTGTGAATTGTGCTGCTATGAACATCGATGTGGCAGTATCCCTGTAGTACGCTCTTTATGGTCTTCAGGGAATAGTCCAAGAAGGGCAATAGCTGGGTCAAATGGTGGTTCCATTCCCAGCTTTCCCAGGAATCTCCATACTGCTTTCCAAATTGGCCGCACCAATTTGCAGTCCCACCAGCAATGTACAAGAGTACAGAAGCAATTTCAAAAAGTTAATATTAGCAGATATTATCCACCCAGACTGTGGAAAATCTATAATGAATGGTAGCAGCATCTGGATAGCACCACTACTTCCTGCGAATTTCCTCCAACTTTCATATCCTGATTGATACAGACAATTTGTGTGATGTAATTGATGAGGAGTGATCACCCCCCTCTCTTGCTCCATAACATAGGAGTTCCACTAGGTGCAAGTCAAAGCAAATCTCAAAGACAGTCATCTCTCTGCCCTTGCTACAGGATTTGACTTTAGTTCAATAACACCATTAATTACAACATTGTCAAGAAAGGTAACTGGTTGGTTAGTAAATTGTGGATCTGGATGTGATATAAGAAGGAGCAACCCAGGTTAATTAGGAGATCAACAAAAGAGACAGTAAAAACTTGCTGTTCGAATCTATAGTCATCCATGAAAACTGTGCATGACCAAGACTAAGGGATGACATAAAAGCTACACATTGACAGTAGGAGGGGTAGACAGACTTCCCTGAATTAGTTCAGTAAAACTACTAAATACACAAAGAAGCAAACAACCATGAGGACAATCCCCATGAGAAAGTATTATTCAGAGTTGCTAAAATATATTTTCTGAGATGTCCACTTTTTAAGAAAAAAATCATAAGATATACAAAGAAATACGAAAGTATGACCCATACATGGGGAAAACATAGGCAATAAAAATTTATCGTGTAGGGAGCCCATATATTGCACTCATCAAACTTCAAAGAGCTATTATAAATACATTCAAAGATCTAAAGGAGTCCATATTTAAAAATGAAAGGAAGACATGATGAAAATGTCTTTCAAATATCAATGATAGGAAGTAAAAAGAAAAAAACAACTGTAAATTTAGGAGTGGAAAAAAATAACCATAAGAAAAGATTCACTAGAGAGACTCAACAGATTTGGGTGGCTGAAGAAAGAATGAGTGAGCTTAAATTTATATAAATAAAAGAAAGAAAAAACAAAATAAAAAATACAAAGCCTCAGGGAAATTTTGGGACACTGTTAAATACATAAACATGTACAAGATGAGAATAAGAGAAACAGAAGATAAAATATAAGAAGCAGAAAGAATATTTAAAGAAAAAATGTCTGAAAACCTCCTAAACTTGATAAAAAATTAATTTATTCTGGGGAGTGATATTAACCAAATTATCATTTAATACTGTGTGCATATTCAAATATGCAACAATAAATCGCATGAATATGTACAACTATTTTTAAAAAATCAGTGAACTTCAAGTATGATAAACCCCAAACACATCATAATCAAACTGTTGAAAGACAAATCATCACCATCACCACCATCATCATCATCATCATCATCATCATCATCATCATCATTTTGCAAGAAGCAAAAGGGAAAAAAAAAGTCTCATCATATGCAATGGAGTCCAAATGTATTAACAGATGACTTCCTAACAGAAACAATGGAAGCCAAGAGGCTGTGGGATGATATATTTGAAGTGATGAAAGAAAAATTTTCAACCAAGAATCTTCTATCTGGAAAATTCATACTTCAAAAATGAAGCCAAAAATGAAAGTGAATCAAAAACAGAGAATTCACTGCTATACCCAACTTTTCAAGAAATATTAAAGGAAATTCTTCAGAATGAAAGCAAGTGAAACCAGAGAATAATCTGAAATCGCATGAAAAAAAAATAGGAGTATTTACACTAGTAATTAAATAGGTTGTTTTTAAAAGGTAGTACAAAAGTGTATTTATTCTCCTTTCTTAAATTAATTGATTATAAAGATGATTGAGTAAATATGAACATAATAGTATTATTGGATCTTTAATATATAGAAATGCTATTTTTTTAATATTAAGAGCACAAATGAGATGCATGGAAACAAAGCTGTGCTGGACTAAGGAAATGACACTAGACACTAACTCAAATTCACAGGAGGAGAGGAAAAGAACCAGAAGGTTCAGAAGTATATATTATATAGTTTTTTTTCTGAACTTCTGACTATATATACTTGTTGTTCTTTACTTTCTCATTTTCTATCAAATATAAAACTTAAGAAGCGATAACTAAAACAATGTATTATCAGGCTTATGGCATACATTGGCATAATATATAATAATATAGCATTACAGTAGAAAAACTAACAGCTATATAGAAATAAAATTAAGGCAGTATAACTCTAAAGTAGATTCTGATAATTTAAGATACATATTATATACCCTAGAAAGACCTCTAAGAAAATAACTTAAAACATATAGTTTTTAAAGGGATATTCCTGTGATCTAAAGGGCACAGAACAGCTAAGCATTACAGTGCATACCTGTAATCCCAGCTACTTAAGAGGCTGAGGCAGAAGGATCACAAGTTCAAAGCCAGCCTCAGAAACTTATGGAGGCCCTAAGCAACTTGGTGAGACCCTGTCTCACAATAAAAAGTAAAAAGGGCTCAATATTTAGGCACCCCTGGGTTCAATCCCCAGTACCAAAAATAAATAAATAAACAAAATTTCAAATAAGCACAGAACACAATAAATTAAGCATACCTAATGGACATCTATATGCTACTCTACAAGAACATGGTACATGTTCTTCTCAAGTTCATATAGAACATTCTCCAGGATAGGCCTTCAGTAAGCTTGAAAGGAATGAAGTCAAAGAACATTCTCCAACTAAAATGGAATGAAGTTAAAAATCAAAAGGAGAATAATATTTGGGAAATTTACAAAGATGTAGAAATACAACATAACAAAATTTATGAGATACAATTAAAGCAGAGAGAAATTCATGACTGTAAATGACATTAAAAAAGAAGAAAGATACGAAATAAATAATCTTCCACCTTAAGAAACTGCATACTAAATCCAAAGTGAGCAGAAATAATGAATAGTGGAGCAGAAATAAACTAAATGGGAAATGGAAAACAGAAAAATCAATGAAACCAAAAGCTTATTCTTTGAAATAATCAATAAAATTAACAAAAGTTTAGGGCTGAGGTTGTGTCTCAGTGGTCGAGTGCTTGCCTAGCATGAGGAACTGGGTTCGATCCCCAGCACCACATAAAAAACTAAATAAACAAAATAAAGGTATTGTGTCCATATACATCCAAAAATAAAAAAATAAAAACTTTAGCTAGACTGTCCAAGAAAGAAATTAGAAAAAACTGAAACTACTAAAAATTTTTTTAAAAAGAGTAAAAGAGAAGACGTGACTACTATCATTACAGAAAGTATCATAAGGGAATACATGCAAACAAACTAGATATCTTAAATGAAATGGAAAAATTCCTAAGGAGACACAAGCAAACAAAACTGACTCAAGACAGGTAAACAATGAATAGACACCAGGTGTGGTAGTACACCCAGTGGCTGGGGAGGCTTTTTGATTCAAAGCCAGCCTCAGCAAAAACAAGGTCCTAAGCAACTCAGCAAGCCACTGTCTCTAAATAAAATACAAAATAGGGCTGGGGATGTGGCTCAGTGGTCGAGTGCCCCTGATATAAATCCCTGGTACAAAAAAAAATTCAAATACAGTCTATCCATGCAATAAAATACATGTACTGCCAAAATTCAGCAAAAAATAAATGCATCCTGTGAGAAGTAATTGATCTCACAGAATTTATAAGAAAAAGTAGCCCATACCTTATTATTATCTATAAATCATGTACTAGACAGTCTTTATATCTATGAGACTTAGACTATTATATATATATGTATATATATACACATATATATAAATAATGTAAGTGCATATATAGTTTATACATGTGTAATACGGCATATATTTTAAAATATATTTTTAAAACATATATTTTCCTAACATTATTACTAGAATAACAATATTAGTAAGAATTGATAATAATAAGTCATAAAGTGCTATTTACAATTAGATTGTCAAGGTCAGAAAGAATGTGACCAACCAGGATAAGATAGTGCCTTGATGTTAATTGATGACTCTTATGAACTCAGGGTTCCTAGGCACATAAAAGATAAATACAAAATGTTTAGAAAAAGAAAAGTTAATGATAATGAAATGGTATACAATTGGGGTAAAATGACCTAGATGTTATAGTTTTTAAAAAATGTTAGAAACCTTTATGCCATTATTCTCCTAAAAGTTCTAAGAAACTTTTAGGAGAATAATGTAATAAAGACTGCCAACACTCAATTATGGAAAAATAATCAGATTCCAAGAATCAGCTGAGATAAACAAAATTTCTCTAACAAGTATGGTTCTAATAATTGAAAGAGTACATAAAAGTATAAAATGACAAGGTATTACTTTGTAGGATCTTTATTTATATTCTCATACATTTCAACTCCTATTGGATCATATTTATTTCTGTTGAATGCTTAAGAATGGTCGACCTAAAACGATGCATTACACATGCTCAAGATACTTTTTTGGTAAAATTAAATTTACTATTTTATTACTTAACAGTGCACAATTATTTGATGTTTGGGAAGAAGAAAGAGGAAGAAAGATACAAATAAATCTTAAAACAATTGCTTTTATTTGTTCAGATCATCACAACACAGAAAATAAACAAAGGCAAGAAGTTCACTAGAGGAAATTAAATGTGTTAGCACTGTTCCTAATATTAGCCTGGAGAGAAAACACAAAGCAATCCCTAATATTTACTCTTTTTTTGACTATTTAAAGCAACCTATTATAATCCCATGTCTGAAATTTAATAATTGATGCTCATAATGACTATAAAAATATACCACTCTAATGACATAACTTTTGTTATTGTTATTCCAGGTATCAATTTCTATTACCTCTACTGGAGCAGGAGTATGTGGCCCAAAAAATTTTCAACGCTATTTTAGAGGAACAAGTTTACCTCCTAATTCCCAAATTTGCATACTTTGCAGTTGTCCTTAAGCAGTAAGTTAATAGTGATCTCAATATCCCTTTGGTTGTTTGTAAACAAATTGTTCAAGCATTGCTACTTCTTTGAGAAACTTCACATTTTTCAAAAGATGAGAGGAAGAACTTTAATAGCACAAGGACAATTTATTGGATTCTTGCTAGCTGTGTCTTGATTACTTCAGACACAAAATTTAACCACGATTTAGGCCTTGCAGAGCATACATTTTTTTTGTTTGTTTTTTGTTTGTTTGTTTCAGTACAGAAACAAATAGCATCTGAATTATTTGGGAGGTTTTGCTTTTCTGTTTTTGTTTTGTGCATTTCTGTTTTCAACCAATTATTTGAGTAGAGTTCTGTTTCGAAAAGAAAGGTTAAAATCCTGAATGTTCTGCTAGGAAGATATTAAAAATATTTGAAAAATTCCTCATTTATTTTAGTAAAACAGTTTCTACAACTTCCTACAAGGTCAGTCCAGTAAACTCTGGGATATTCATGGATGATTCCAACCCAGGCTTACTTCTAACATAATGGAGGCTTATGTGCCAGTTACTGCACTGACAGTTTTGCATGAATTTTATCATTTTTAGGGAATCCAAAGTTTAAAGAAAGTAATTTTGCATGATTAAACAGCTAATGTGTGCTAGATTAGCTTTAAACCAGTTTCCCAACAGATTACAAAGCTTTTCTATCAGGATGCACTCCTCCCCTGCTGTAAGTAAAGATTGCTTCCCATCCATCCAGGAGATGCCTCAGACCAGAAGTCTTTGAGATTTCAGATTTTTTCAGATTTTGGAATATTTGCATATACATAATGAGATATCCTGGAGATGGCACCTAAGTCTAAACATGAAACTTATTTGTTTCATATACACCTTAAACAAATAGCAGAAGGCAATTTTGTACAATAGTTTTACTGTGTCTGCATTTGATCATGACCTGTCAGATAAGGTATAGTATTCTCCATTTGTGGTATCATGTGGGTGCTCAAAAAGCTTTGGATTTTGAAGCATTTGGGGTTATATTGTTGGCAAATACCATACTTTCTTTCCTATTTATATACATTCCACATATTTCCTATTCATCCTTAGCTTGCCCACTTGGTTAGGCAGGTCAAGGTCCTGCACTGTATGATCCCCTGATGCTTTTCCCTTCCTCTTGTATCATTCATCCATCACACTGTAGTCGTTGGCCAGCTTACAGTCTCCCTGAGGACAAAACACATTTTCTGAATTGCTTCCTATTTGTGCTCCTGCCTAGGACAGCACCTAACATGTAATAAGCATCCAAAAATATTTGCTGAGTCAAGTTGAGAACCAATGGGCTGCTGTAAACAAAAGTGATCTGAAGATACAGCTTCTATCATCAAAAAGCTCAGGAGCACATTGGAATCACCTGGGCCCCATTTGATACTATAGATCCCTGGATGCCAAACCCCAGATATTCTGCTTAATTTGTCTGGTTTTCTTTCTAGTTTTAACTACTGTTTACTAGTCTAGTAAACAGTAGTTAAAACTATAAATAACAGTAAGTCCAGGGCCATTTGATCTTTTGAAAGAACCAATGAGTGTAATATATGAATTAATTGGTACTTTTTAAAAACTAAAGGGATGATTCCAAGGTGGAGCCAAGATGGACAACATTGAGGGTATTGATGGCCCTCAACTAATTGTGACAGGAACACTTCTCTGCCCATCCCTCCCTAATGGGACAGTTGCACAACATAGATCACGACATTTCAAACTTTGTGGAATTTTCACTTAATCTTTGCAATGTAGTCTCTTCAACTACTGAAAGGATTGTAAAAGGTCACAACTTTTTTCTATGTTTTTCTCTAGTCTAATATCTCCAAAAATGATGATCGTCCTTGGGGAGTACCTTGGAGCAGATACTTGCATGGATTCTTTCAAAGGGAGAATGGAAGCAAATAAACCTCAGGAAGAAGTGGAGAGAAAATGCCAGTAATTAAGCTTCAAATAAATCAAATAAAAAGTGTTAAAATGCTAGACTATTTGGAATTCCTCCTAATGCTTCAAGTGTCCAGGCTACTAAGAATCACTGAAGCTTTCAAAAGTGCCACCCTTATTTCCAGGGCACAATTGACACACTGATATTTTTCTAAGCATTTAAATTATCTATCTGGTTTTTCCTGTCATTTTTTAGTCTGGTAAGTATGGACATCATAGCCTTTTCAATAGACTCTGAGCATATAGTTATAAAAACATATTAATGCAATTGGCCTCTAATTTAATTTGAAAATAGAAATATAAGATACTTTTAGGAGGCAGGTGGGATGGTGTATGTCTGTAATCCCAGTTACTTGGGAGTCTAAGGCAAGAGGATTACAAGTTGGAATCCAATCTCTGCAACTTAACAAGACCCTTTCTCAACATGGAAAATAAAAAACAGGCTCAGTGGTAGAGTGCCCCTCTCCAATCTCCAATACAGAAAAAAAAAAGAAAGAAAAAGAAAAAGAAAGAAAGGAATGCATTTAGGAAAAAAAGATAATTTTAAGTAATGACCTCATAAATCAGTTTTACTGCTGATAATTTTCAACATCAGATTTAAAGACACATATTTTGTAAATTAAGAAAAATAGTGTTTACTTCGAAAAGTGAAGGCTTATTTGTATTGCTCATTAATCCTTCTGTTAGATGATCACATGAAGGCCTTAGTGGGATCAAACCTGCTCATTGGATAAAATAAATCTGTAACTCACCAATTCTATTTGCATCCCAATGTGTCAAACAATTCCTAGCTTTCTTTATTCTATTAGGAAAAACAGTACACATCAGATTTCTATTAATTACTGGTTTGTGAGCAAAACTTATTTTTATAATAAACTCAATGAAATGTTGTTTCAAGTCATTTATATGGGAATACACAAATTTTTAAACATTTAAAGTCATGAGAATGTGTACCTCCCATGTTGCCATTTCATTAACATTGCTAACATTGATACCTTCCCAGTAGGGATAGTGGTTGAGCTGTGATTACTAAACATCGATCTAATTTTGCCTCTGTTAGGTTCAGGAGCTAATGAGTAATGGTAAAACCAAAAATTGAAAATTCAAGAACATCACAGGATACATTCTTTTAACCAAAGAGTGAGTACACAACCAAAGAGTGAGTACATAAGATCAATCCTTTTACTGAGGACATACAAAGACAACACAGTTTAACTTGAAAAAAGGAAAGAGAGAAATATTGAACTAATAAAAGAATGAAACATTCTAAAAAAGTAGTATTTTTAAGGAAATGAAATTTTAATTGTTTCATTAGTAAATTTTAGAAACACTAAAATTTTGACACCTCTCTGCCTTCAAAAATAAGTATCCGAAGCACTTTCTACATTTTCCTTAATGTCTCAGGAGCATTAATATATTTTTGTCTAACAAATATCTTTCAAGAGGTCATTTATCTCTAAATAAACTGGTCCACAACCTATCAGCTTTCACGTCATTCAGTGAATAATATATTCCTACTGCTTCTAAGGTTGGATCTGCTTTACATTTGATTGTCTATCCTACAGAAAAGTTTTTCTGTGGTGGGAAGAGAAATACTAGGGACTGAACCCAGGAGTGCTTAATCACTGAGCTGCATCTTCTGCCATTTTTATTTTGAGATAGGGTCTTGCTAGGTTGCTTAGAGTCTAACTAAGCTGCTGAGACTAGCCTCAAACTTCCTATCCTTCTGCCTCAGCCTCCCAAGTCACCAGGATCCCTTCGCTCAACACGTATATATTAGGTATCTACTATCTATGGGTGCTAGAAATAGAGGGGTGAATAATGCAATCACTGAATGAGGTACAAGAACTTTCTGATTGCTGTTTGGCACACAGGAACTTTTGGTTTTCTGGTTAATATTTTTGGAAATCTGACCTCTCATCCACTAGGTATACACTATGTAGAAACAGCACAGTCTGATCCTCTGTTGCCTTTTATTTGTATTCACATAGTGTGGGGAAAGCTAACAAAATCTTATTCCTTTTTGCATGAGAATTCTCTCCTTTCTAGTTCTGTTGCCCTGGCAACCCAGTAAAGCATCCTATGTCAAATATGTTTCTAAGCAACCCTGCTTATGGTATAAGGGATCGCTGAAGAGTTATAAATGAATAATAAATACCCAGTGGGGAGGAGTAATGTACTCTGGGCTTCCCTGGTCTAGGGGGTTCTGGGCAATGGGAACTTGGAGGCTGTGCCCATGGCATTGTTGACTCTGTGAGCCATGAAAGCAGGCACCACATTTGACCTGTACCAAAACTAGCATTTGAAGAAACAATGTTCCTGGACCTTTGTGTTGACTGCTGCATGGACTTCTCCAGTCTTACTCCCAGTGTAGGGGTATGAACACCTGCCACTATGCACTGGTGTGGTGGCTTCTTCTCCCTGCCTATGTGCCTCCTCTTATCTTGAGTCTGAACACTGAGTTGAACATCTGAAGTCTCCTGGTGGCATTGTGTTTTTTCTCCCTATTTCAGTATCTTTGAAACTTTGGAATGGTTTCTCTAGGTATCAGTGGAGCACTGGTTCCAAGAAACTGCCCCATAACAAAATCTGAGGACGCTCAAGTTCCTTAGATAAAACAACATAGCATTTGCATATAACCTACGTACAATCTCTCATATGCTTTAAATCATCTCCAGATGACATATAATACCTAATACAAGGCCAACACATCACTGCATTTGTGTGGATTCAGCATAATACTCCATGTGTGATAAACTGAACTTTTGGCTTTTTGTGCCTTTCTGGAATTTTTTTCCAGAATATTTTCTACCCAAGGTTGGTTGCCTGTGAACCTGTGAATATGGAGGGCCAACTGTACATAGTATCCATCTGTGTAATTGGTCTCAAATATTCATATACAGACATGAAATCTATCTAACAAAAGCAACAACATTGAATTGCCTGGATCTGAAATATGGCCACTTTTGTCACTTCCTTCCACCAAATTCTTAAAAAGTAGCAGACATTATTACCTTATGTACATATATGCATGACCAATGGGATTCTACAACTAATGAACAATCAGAAAAATAAGAAATTATACCCTATTTATGTATGATATATCAAAGTGCACAACGCATTGGTCATGTAAAACTAATTGAAACAAATAAAAAACTAATTTTAAAAAAATAGCTGGTTACAACAAAAAATTCCTGTGCAGCCCCCACCTCATGAACACTTTCCACTTAGATAAAGTGGAACACTTTCCACTTGATGGATGTTAGCTTGGAGAAGTACAGCTTCACTGGGGCATGTCAGTCTTTGAAAATGAAGATGCATTTTTGCAACAGAACAACATTATAATTGGTAATTACCCTTATTCTACAAAAGTCTTCCTAGTCCAAAGCAATAAATATAGTTCAAAATGTGAAAAATTCAAACATGGGGGATGCTATTTGATAATGAATTAGTCTTTTAAAATAAAAAAAAAAATCTTAGTAGCTGATGAAATTGAAGTTGGTGATAACTGGGACAACTAGAATCTCCCAGTGGCATTGAAAAAAAATGAGAGCCCCTTCTTTTGCCTGAGTTCATTCATAAAAACAAGCCTTTTCTTTTCTTTAATACTAGGAAAAAGACAGATATTGGCTTCACATAGAAGGAACTTTCTAATAATACCAGCTGATCAAGATTAAAATGACTACTCTGAGTGTTAACAGGGTTTTTCCCTTCTAAAAAAATCAAGGAAAGTTAGTGGCTAAACCATCTGGGCCCTTTCTAGTCCTGAAGATCTCTGAGAGTGACAGAATTACTTGAGATTTATTCTTGCAATAAATCTCTATTGAGGACCCAAGAGCAAAGCATAAATATTTTTGAAATGATCAAATACACTTTTGACAGACAAAATTCAGTAAGATAAAACAAGAACAGGAGAGAGTCTGAGGATAACTTTGCAGAATTTGGAAGAAAAACAATGAAAGTGGAGAAAACAAAGAAAATGGGAGATAGTTTTCCTTAGAAGAGTGACACCTTAGGATGAAACATGCTTTTCCGGGGAGGGATTTTAGAATCTCCTTGGAATGAGCCATCCCAGAACCAAGAAGCAGAACTGAGCATCGCAGGGGTCCTTATCTCACTCTGACCTTTGATTTACTCAGGTGTGTGAACTTAGAGCTGGACCTGAATTGTTTAGAACATCAGAAAGGTTTTGAGAAGACTTGGAGAAAGAAAATTGTGATGAGCTAGCTAGAGAGAAGAGAGGTTTTCAAGGGGAGGACAAACTATAAAATGGGAGGTTACTGTGTTTCTGCTGTGTCTTATGTATATGGATTATCACTGCCATCTATTCATGAATGTTGCAGTTAGTGCCCTGGGGAGATGGATGTGTTTGGAGTGATTCAATTAATGGAAAGTACTATATACAGTTTTCTCTCAATATGAAGAAAAAAATCCTTCCAGGAGGCCCCACAGAGTCAGAAACAGGAGATGGGTTCCTTGAGCTCTGTGGTCCCCAGCAGCTTCAGGGGCACCCCAGTGAAAGAGCAATCTGAGAGTCAGCGAGAATGGCCCTGCAAAGGTGGGACAGAGGCAAAGAGCCCAGTGCAAAACAATAACCGTGGTGCCCTCTGTTCAAAAAGCAGAATAAAGAACTGGAAAACCACTTAAATAGAAAGCTTTTTCCTTAAGATGTATTTCTGATCAATGATTTCAAAACATAAATTTTAGTACATCTAGAGCTGATGTGTCTCATGGTACAATTTTTTCTAAAAAGATTTAACTTCTTCTACATATCAATTGCATATAAGACTAATTTTAAATGTGAATTCATACAATGGCATTTTAATGCCTCCTCTGACTTTTCCTCTAATTTGTGGATGTTGTACAGAGAACCAAAAGTGGCTTCATGATTTGTGTGTAATTAACATGCCCGCTTATGCATTTTTGTCACCGTATCTTCAATTATAAGGAAAAATTAATTTTAAAATTGTCTTCCACACTAATAATTGGTTTATGTGA